TTCTTCTTCTTCTTCTTCTTCTTCTTCTTCTTCTTCTTCTTCTTCTTTCTTCTTCTTCACCTTCTTCTTTTTGGCTCCTACAGGGAAATATGTTAGAGAAGCTGAGAATTTGCTCCATGCCCAGGTTCATCCAGTGTCTTCATGACTTAGTCATAAAGAAGAACCGTAATTTGACGGTGACCAACATGTACTTTGGAACAATTCCTGTAAGACTATTCCAGCCCAAGGCAGTGTCCTCCAGACTCCTACGAGGCATCATTTTCTACCATGGAGGAGGAGCCATATGTGGTAGTCTGGGTAAGTGGCTTCTGCATTGGGCGGGAGAGGAAAGTCATGTCTGTTAGCCTTTCATAGGTTCCTATGAGGACCTCTTGGGAGGGAGCTAAAGCAAGTACAAGTTGGAACTTTTAGGGAGAATGGATTGAGGGCTTGGAAATCACAACATTCAATGAGGTTGAAACCTCCATAGCAATGTTTCCTGTATAATACAGTCTTAGCCCAGGTTTGGGCAGCATTATCTACTGCAACTCCCCCAGAACTAGACGTGACACTTCCCTTTCCCTTTCCTTCCCACTCACAATACTGGCTTTTCCTATCTGTCCTATAATGACCCCAAGTCCGTGTGTTTTCCTTAGCTCTGCTGGATCACTGTGCTCAAAACCCATCCATTCTTGATCACTGTATCACCTCTGCTCCCTAAAGTTGTTTCCTTGGTACAATTATCATCATCTCTCCCAACCAGAAGGACCCAGTGCCAATCACTGGTGTACTTCAACCTCCCCAGAGTCCTGAACACATCTCCCACCTGGTCACTTATGTCTCCTATCAGCCTTTCTGAGCTGTAGTTTGTGAACTCCTCAACACAGCAGGAATCCTGGGATGCTCATTTGTTCTTCTGTACTTGCTGCTTGTGCAGACTCAAAAGACACAATTTACGGGATGAGGGTTACTTACTGCCTTCTAATGATTGAGATAGACAGAGCAGTTCTGAAGATATTGCCAAGATGCTTGCTCTCATTTATTGGTTAACTATGAGTGTATCTTATCTGTGGTACCCACCCTTTCCTAGAGCTTCACTGCCTTTGTTCACTCTTCACTGTCATCAGCCTCACCTTCTTCCCCAAGTTGCTATCATTATCTACTGCAAATAATGATATTTCAAAATCTTAAGCAAGAATGGCTCAGTAGATATCTGCTGAATATCTACTTAGCCCCAGGCCCTCTCCAGGCATAGGGGACACACTGAAAGACACGCAAGAACCAGTCCACAAATTTCAGGGTCTGTACATCAAGGGGGGAAGCTAGACCACATGGGAGAACACAAATGAGGAGGTGGTTTCAGATACGGGTAACACAGGAGTGGAGTAGAGAGTGATTCAAAATCATAACATCTCAGTTTCTCTAATCATACAGTCCCTCCAAGAAGGTGATATTTGAGACCGGGATGACGGGATGGAAGGAGGCAGTTCTTCTGAGCTGGGGAAAAGCAATGTGAGATAGGTTGGGAATCTGGGTGAGGTGAAGGAAGCCTGAACCTCAGCACCCAAACAAAGGACTCCAGAAGCTCAGTCACTGAAGCAAATAATACTGCATGTTAATACAAGATTTTTAGAAAGCTCTCATGCAAAAAAAAGGTAATAAAAATAAATAAAACCTATGAGAAGCTGTGTATCTAAGTTTATAAGAGGGCAGGTGACTGAGGGCTGAGTCACTTGTGCAAGCTGGAAACGGCATATTTCAGCATATTTGAACTTTCATTGCACCTGTGTTTGTTGTGTTCCATGGGGAAGGAGAGAGACAACACTTACGGGTTCCAAAGTCTTTAAGGTTTAAGAAATCCCTACATAAGTGGGGTTGCTGATTGATCATAGTTACGCAACAAGGACTCAGGAGCCTTATTTCTCCTGGCAGCCCCAAACAGAGGCAGAAGTAGGTTTTATAAGCACAAACCCCACAAACCCTTGTTGTCAAGTTACCATTACAATTTTCAGGAGTTAAGGATTAGGAACTTTCCTTGTACATTCCATCATTGTCAACTGATGTAAAAGGTAAGCTTTTTAGTCTAACTTTGGATAGAGAAGCTGACCGCCCCACTCAGCTGAGACTACCCCATGTGTTGGTCTCAGTGTTTGCTCTTCCGTCCACGCTCCCCTACACCCTCCCCCACTGTCCTTTGACAGTGGACAGGTATAGAAGCATGGTTCACTCCGCTGCTATGACAAACACCGTAACCAAAGGTGCCTTAGGGAAAAGCAGGATTTGTTTCATCCTACAGGTTACACTCCATCACTGAGGGAAGTCAGAGCAGTAACCCGAACAGAAACCATGGGTTGAGCACTGCTTGCTAACTCGGTCTCAGGCCCATGTTTAGCTAGCTTCATTATGCCATCCAGAACTACCTGCCTGGGGAACGACCCTGCCTACTGTGGGCTGGATCCCTCATACTAATTAAGCAACAAGAAAATTCCACACAGACATTCACACAGGAAAATTTGATCTGGACAATCCTTCAAATGAGACTTTTTCTGAGGTGACTCGAGGCTACATTAAGTTGCCATTTAAAATTACTGAGGATACCTCCAATGCCCATGGTGCATATACCCACCTAGCAAACCCCCTAAACATTGGTACTAACTAACTTAATTTAGAAAATCCCAGTGCTTGGCTGGATGGGAGGTGTTACACTCCATTAATCTAGCACCTAGGAAGTTGAGACAAAGGGATCACAAGTTTGGGTTTACCTGGGTTATATAGTTAGGACATAGACACATATAAACAAAACCACCAATTGAGTAAGTAACAAAGTAATAGATAAAGTAAAACTAAAACAAGATAAAATCTTCATGGATATTCATTAAGAAAATTAAAAAAAATAGTTTTAGTGACTGAATCTCCTCCCTGGAGATGCTTCTGGGATATGGTAATTAAGAGACTCTAGACTTCTGTCCCAACGCCAGACAGAAATTAGACCATGATCAACTGTATACTAATCTTAATTGAACTGTCTACTAGTATAAAGTTATTATCTGGTCATCATTTTACTCCTCATGAACATAAATCAATGAGCCCATTAACACTCCAGGTCTGGCTCTGCAAACACATGTAGCCTTAGTGACATCAATTTCAGATCCCCAATCATTCTAAGTCCCTAGTTTACCCATACTGCATAAAATTCAGTGATATAGAAAGTGAACTGCAAATTCCAACCAAATCTTGCTATTCAGAGGGCTGGGAATGATGTCTGGCTTTGCCTACACAGAGCTGAGAAGGTTATCTCAGAGGAATCAAGAATAGGGAGATAGATAGGACCTTATTATCATGTCTATCATGACTGTTGCTATTTCTGGGATTGCGGTGGGACATGCTGGGCTCTTGGCCACACTGCCTGACACCTGGGTTCCTCTTTGCAGACAGTTACCACAACCTGTGCAGCTTCCTGGCCCAGGAGACAGAGTCGGTGGTGCTGTCAGTGGGGTGAGTGGCCTGAGACATTTGGAGGTTTGTTTATGTGAGGGTGCTTTTGGGGGCACAGATTTGGGTGACTAGGCCACAGAAAGGGGTCATGACCTCCTGGACATGTTCCCACGAACATAGCCACAACACTTTCAAAACAGTAGAAGTCTAAAAATATATCCATCCCTGGGAAGTACACTGGTGAACTGTGACAGAAGAAGCGCAATACTACAGAATACTGGTCTCCTAAGGAGCAATATAGAGCCATAGAGTAGAGAACTAGGAAGGACATACCATGATGTGAAGGAACCCAGGTGGTGGAAAATAAGAAGAGACTTTGTATGTCCTCTTTGGGAAGTTAAATTAATTAAAGTCAAAAGAATGCTTTCTAGGATACACAGAGACCCCCATGAAATTCAAAACGTGGAACGAAAGAAAAAAATGACAAATATTGAACTCAAAATGTCTCTTTATTTGGTGGGATGATGTTGACTTTGGATTTAATGGTGCAGTCAGGGTTGGCTGGTGGTCAAGGTGAATTGAAGTCATGAACTTTGTTGGTTGATAGCTATAGTGTTCTTTGCAACAGAAAAATACTGCTAAACTTTTGGGAGCCAGCAGAGTCCAGCTCTACCGGCTTCCAGTCTTTTGAAAATAAAGTGGTCCTTGACACAGGGAGCTGATTATCATAATTTGAGAACAGAGTCTATAGGTCTATAGGACAGTTTAAAAAGTGAGGTAAGAGAAATTGAAAACTGCCTTGTTAGATTCTGCTGCTTCAATGGCTATCATTTCACTGGACCCCTCATACCTTGACATCACCCAGGACAGGTATGCACCTAAATTGGGTAACTAGAACAAATCACTTGATATCTCTGTTCCTCTTTGGTGGCATAGTGATGTGAGATTCTGCTCTGTATGTTGTGAATACCATTGGTTAATAAAGAAGCTGTCTTGGGCCTGTGCAGGGCAGAATAGAGGTAGACAGGGAAAACTAAACTGAATGCTGGGAGAAAGAAGGTGGAGTCACGGAGAAGATATATAGCCCCACCAGAGACAGATGCTGGATGAAACCTTGCCAGTAAGTCACAACCATATGGCGATACACAGATTAATAAAAATGGACTAAATTAAGATGTAAGAGCTAGCCAATATAAAGCTAGAACTAATAAGCCAAACAGTAATTTAATTAATACAATTTCTGTGTTGACTGAGGTTTCTGTCCTGCCTGGTCCCACAGCCATTTAACCCCAAAGAAACATACAGAGGTCTACATTAATTATAAACTGGCTGGCCTATTATCTCAGGCTTCTTACTAACTTTTATAATAACTTATATTAGCCCATAATTCTTGTCTGTGTTAGCCATGTGGCTTGGCAACCTTTTTAGGTGAGGCAGTCACATCTTGCTTCCTGTGTCTGGATGACGACTGCAGACTGAATCTTTCCTCTTCCCAGAATTCTCCTGTTCTCTTTGCCCTGCCTCTACTTCCTTCCTGGTCACCCTGCCTATACTTCCTGCCTGGCTACTGGCCAATCAGTGTTTATTTAAAATACAAGTGACAGGGTACAGACCATTGTCCCACAGTACTTCTCCCTCCCCCCTTTTAAACAAGAACTCTGAATCAAATCTATCTGTGTTTAGATTTTCTCCTGACCATTATCCATAACAGCTTGTAACCAACATTCTAAACAAAGGCAAACATCCACAATCCTTTTTTTGGGGGGAATGTAGGCGTAGGTTTCTAGGCTACTTCCTGCTGATTGAGGGTGCTGATAATCTTATGGGTACCAAAAGAAAATTTAGAATTATGATCATGTCCTGAATGGAAAATTCTGTGAGGCTTGATTATCTCAGGCAGCAGTCTTGAAACTGTTCTGGATGCGTAACTCAGAGGTAACTCCAACAGAGGTACTCTGAAATGTTGGATTGTCTGGACCATCTGGTCCTACTGGAGAGTCTTCAGGGAGTCTTCCTTGTTCAAAACTGATTTTTCTTAGCCCAGAATGAATTCACAGCATTTCATTTCCTGTGGAAACAAAAACAACGTCTTTTCTAAAGTAACATACCTTCTGACTTACATTTTGAAGTCAAGGCATTTTCAAAATACATATTGGATTAAAACAGCAACATTTATAATCAAATATCTTTTAGCTGCTTTTGCTTCTTCCTTGGCCATCAAACAATTTAAAGACAATAATTTAAAGCATTATCCTGACTCTCTATGCATTCTTCATCTTTGTGTGGCTTTATTTTAAACTAATTTCTTGTCTTTTTCTTTTTAATTTTTGGTGTTTTGAGACAGGGTTTCTCTGTGTATCTTTGGCTCCTGAATGTCTCAGTCTGTAGACCAGGTTTTCTTTGAGCTCACAGAGATCTGCCTGCCTCTGCCTCCCAAGTTTTGGGATTAAAGGTGTATGTAACCACACCCAACTACTCTCTTTCTTTCTTTTTTATTTTAAGGACTCTATCCTTTTACTTTTCTTTCCCAAGCCTACATATATTTTTAAACACACTGTAAACTGTTTAGAGGCTTTTTCTTCGGAAACTATCTTTATTGTATCTCTCTTTTTTCTGACCACATGAGTCTTTAATTTGCTAAGTGTTATGGCTAGGATTAAAGCTGTGACTCTGATGGCTGAATCTGGCCCATTTCTTAGCTTTTTGAGAGTCTGCCCTCAAAGCAGAGGTACTAACCAGAGTCATGTTTTTTTTGCCACAACTTTATGCTATTTGAAGGTCCCTGCCACCACCAAGGAATGTGCCGTCAGCTATTCATAAACACCACTTAAGTGTTTGGTGACGGGGCCTCTTAAAAGAGTTGCAAGGTTTCACAGCTGAAGCTATGTCAGGAAACATCTCTTAAATGAGATCACTTGCCTCTAGCAAACAGAACAAACCCAAAAAATTGCTGCTATCAAGAAGCCAAGCTTAATGCTGTTATTTTGTGTCTAGAACTACTTCCCAAGCTCTCTCAGGTCTTCCGTGGATGCAGTTGTCCACATGTTAGGCACCATTTGTTGACAGAGGTTTCTGTCCCACCAGGTCCCAAAAGAAATACACAGAAGTCTATATTAATTATAAAGTGACTGGCCTACTAGCATAGGCTTCTTATTAATTAATTCTTACATTAACCCATTATTCTTGTCTGTGTTAACAACATGGCTTAGTACCTTTCTCAGAGAGGCAGTCACATCTTACTTGCTCTGTGTCTGGCTTCCTCTCCATCTGGGTGACAACTGCAGACTGACTCTTTCCTCCTCCCAGAATTCTCTTGTTCTTATTGCCCCACCTCTACTTCCTGCCTGGTCGCCCTGCTTATACTTTCTGCCTGGCAACTGGTCAATCAGCATTTTATTAAACAAGTATAAGAAACAAATCTTTACAGGGTAAAACCATTGTCCCACAGCAGTTTCTGTGTCATTATTTCGGGGCTGAGCAGCCAAGAACAAATGAGCAGCCTCCTACAATATCATAGGAAGGGTCCCATCTCTCTAGACTCCAGAGACCTTCTCCTACCTGGATGACACAGTATCTAAACTTTCAAAATGGGACTTACATCTCTGAGATCCCCTTAATAGAACTACAGAGAAGTATGTAGGTACTTGGCCTGAAATCTTAAAGGGAATTCCTCAGTGTGGCATTCTAGAAACTTACAGAGTTCTGACTCATAGGCCAGAGAAACTGTGAAAGAATGGAAAGTGTAGATGCTCAGCTACAGAAGGGGCTTGAAACTGCCAAAGTGCTGCTATGAGCTACAGTTCTGAAACTACCAACCACCTATCCTTAGCTTCCCCCCTTACCCAATCTCTCTCCATCCTTAGTACTTCCTTACCCACCCCTCCTTTTGTACCCCCCAATTCCCTTTTCTTCTTTTTCTCTCCCCTTCCTGACCTCCCTTTCCTTGAAGCAAGGTACCATGACTCTAAGTGAAGTTTCTGCATCTCTACTGATGGGGAGTGGCGGTATCAATCATCTCCATTGGGTCATTTTCTTCTACCAGGTCATTTTCTTCCAACTGATTTGATGTGGGAATTTCCCTCTGCATGCTGTGATTACCATTAATGAATAAAGAAACTGCTTTGGACCTGTAGCAGGGCAGAACTTAGATAGGCCGGGGAAAACTAAACTGAATGCTGGGAGAAAGAAAGGCAGACTCAGGGAGAAGCCACTGCCAGAGTCAAACATGCCGAAACTTTGCTGGTAAGCCACTGCCATGTGGCCATATACAGATTAATAAAAATGGGTTAAATTAATATGTAAGACTTAGCCAATAAGAATTTAGAGCTAGTGGGCCAAGCAGTGATTTAATTAATACAGTTTCTGTGTGATTATTTTGGGTCTAAGTTATCCGGGAAGCTGGGAACTAATTAGTGGTCCCCTTTCTCCTACACTGATTCTTTAGGACTTCATAGCCCTTGACTTCTGAATTGAATGGTGGTGACAAAGAACTAGGAGCCACAGAAGGTGCCACCTCTGGGGTCAGAGTTCTCCTTATGCACGCCTCTAGTAATTGGAATTTTAACCCGATGGTGCTGAGGACTAGCAGCTCCCGGGTCTATCTGTAAAGTCAATGCCCCCTAGGCTTTGATAACACCTGTGCTCTAGTTCTCAGGTCAGTCTTTCTAAAACCTTTGGCCCTTAAGGCAGCAGTTACTGCTTCTGTTGTTTTCATTTTCCAGGTTTTGATCGCTGCTGCCCATCTCCTGTATTGTCTGCAGTTGTCTTTTTAGGCTATAGTTGCTCATGTGTCTTTGCTTCTGTTCTCTGCTCCCATTTCTGAAGCTTCACTTCTGATGCTCTCAAGGCCACTTTGCATTTTTTTTTTGTGCTGCTAAGGTTTCTGGCTGATTCCAAAGGTCAGTGACTCCCACTCCCGAGGTGCCCAGTGGCCTTTGTGCCTCTGCCACCATTTCTGTCACTACATGATGCTCTCTTGCCTCTGGACCTGCTGCAATTCTTCTGCCAATCAGCTAGGGCCTTGGAGAAGAGTCTAAGAACTCTTAATTATCAAGGCCAATTGCCCCATCCCCTAACACTTTTATTTGTTTGCAGGAAAATAAACATTAGAAAGTTCACTTACAGCAAGACCTTATGTTAATAGTATTTTATTAATAACTAGTGTTATTCATAACAATGTTATCAATATAACATTGACATAAATTTTGAAGAGCAATGGTTTTGACAATACTGAATGGATGCCTGAGACATCCTGGAAAACTCAAATCTTTACCCTGTCTCAGTGGGACTAGCAGAGCTCCAGTCACCTTCTCTGGGTCTTTGCTGGGTGTCCTATTTCCTAAAGCAATTGCTTTGAGCTTGACTGATGCTTTTAGGGGCTCATTCATCTATGAAAAGAAAAATGTGGGTTGGAATGAAGAATCCTAGCCTCCCTGGCTCTGGCAGGTTCTTCATGTCCTCAGAGGAAAAATGAGGATAGTCATATTTATCTGTTAGGGTCATTCTGAGGATTTAATCAGGGTTTTTGTTCAATGAGAGTAGAGGATTCTCTTCAAATATCCTCCAGTGACTCATGTGTATATACATCACTGTATTGTGTTTGTTTATTTCTTCTTAGGTACCGCAAACTTCCTGACCACTGTTATCCTTCTGTTCCTAATGATTGCCTGAATGCCACCATTCTCTTCATGAAGGGCCTAAAATCCTATGGGGTAGACTCCTCCCGGGTGGTAGTTTGTGGAGAAAGCATTGGAGGTGGTGCTGTGGCCATTGTCACCCAGACCTTGCTCAACTTCCCGAGTCTTCCCAAGATCTGTGCTCAGGTGCTTATTACTCCAGTTACACAGATCATCAATTTCCGATTGCCATCACATCAACAGAACCAAAATGTCCCATTCCTCACCAAAGACATATTAATGACATCTGTGTGTAAATTCCTGGACATTGACTTATCTTGGAAAGATGCCATAGCTAGAGGCTCTGGTGTTCCCCCAGACACCTGGAAAAAATACAAGAAATGGCTCGCTTCTGATAACCTCCCCAGAAGGTTCAAGAGCCAAAACCTCCTGCCTGAGTTTCCAGGACCTTTCAATGAGGCTGCCTATCTGGAAACCAGGCATATTTTAACAGCAGAAATTTCACCTCTCCTAGCAGATGACAAGATCATTGCTCAGCTTCCCCAGGCATTCCTGGTGAGCTGTGAGAATGATCCCCTCCGTGATGATGCCTTGCTCTACAAGAAGCGCCTGGAAGATGAGGGTGTCCCTGTGACCTGGTACCATGTGGAGGACGGCTTTCATGGATGCATCATTTTGTTTGATAAGCAGCCTTTCTCTTTTCCCTGCTCCATGAAAATTGTAAATGCTGTCATCAGCTATGTAAAAGGCATATGACATTCCTTTGGGATCCGAGGGTGGAACAAGGTGAGAACTATCTGTTCTGGGGCTTTTCCTGGTTTTATTTTATTGAGTAAAGGGATGCTGAAGCCGTTCATGATCCAAAAGGGAAAGACTAGGTGTAAGCAAGAAAGACAACTCTGTGTGTTTCTTTCTAGAACTGACAACATCCAGTGTTACAACTAGCAACACTCTCTACTGCTTGATTTACTTGAAATAAATGTCAAAGTGGAAAGAAAAGTCTCTCAAATTTTACAAAAGCCTTAAGAAATGATGGTAGACCCATCATTTGGTCACATCATCACTGCTGATGTCATATCCATGACAACATAAAGAAAGGGTTTTTCTTGTTATTATTTGTCCCAAGACCAAATTCACAGCATTACTTGTACTGCCTCTATCTGTCCTAAGAAATGGGCAGTTTCATAGACTCCCTCCTTAGAAGATGACTCTTACACTGAATTGTGGGATGACATTAGTGGGAACATTTAAGAAACAGAGATTCAAGGCAACGAGGGAGGAGTAAAAGGGATGGGCGAACATTGGGTGAGATTTTCCCTGGAATCACATTTTTTTTTGGTGGAACTCCTAACACAGACCCAAGTCTACCATGTGCCCTCAGAATCACAGCTATGATGCGAGTGTTAAAGGCCACCTGGTGTATTCAAGGCATGTCCCGAGGTGAGGAAGGTGATAAGCTCATGTGTTATTCTAAGTCTTACAAAGGTCCCTGCCTTTGCTTAACCAACACCACTCTTCCTGTTGAGAGGGAATCTGAAGGAATCATCCACTGTAAGGTGGTTGTGGTTGTTTAATGGGTTCAGGTTTTGTAAATTAGACACCATTATAATTAGCCCAAACCCTGCTTCTGTCCAAAATACTGAATTAATAAAGTCACTGCCCTGTCTTGGTTATAGTACCCTTAGCTGTAGTATCAGACAGCTTGTTCATCCCGGCTGCCCGGAAATGTAAGGTGCCAATTTGTTGGAGGAGAGAGCTGCTTGTTGCTTTCTGGCTAGCTTAGACCTGAAATAATCACACAGAAACTGTATTGTTTAAATCACTGCTTGGCTCATTAGCCCTAGCTACTTAATGGCTAACTCTTGCATATTAATTTAACCCATCGCTATTAATCTGTGTATCACCACTTGGCAGTGGCTTACTGTCAAAGTTTCAACGTGTCTGACTCTGGTGGTGGCTCCATGGCTTCTCTCTCTCTGCTTTTCCTCTCCCAGCATTCAGTCCAGTTTTCCCCACCTACCTAAATTCTGCTCTATCAACAGGCCAAGGTAGTTTCTTTATTCATTAACCAATAAAAGCAACACATAAACAGAAGGACCTCCCACACATTTTCCCTTTTCTGATTAAATAAAAAAGGAAGGCTTTAACTTTAACATAGTGAAATTACATGTAACAAAACAGGTATCAGATAAGAATTATAGTTACAGTATTTATATCTACTTTATCTTTTATCATAACTAAGGAAAACTATAGCTATAACTGTAAATTCTTCAACTCCATCAAAGACTTCAGAAGAATATGATAGTACCTAAGTAAACAGGCAGTACATTGTAAGAAACTTCCAAAACTCTAGAATTGGCAAAGACATCTTGCTGCCTCAACAGTCACCCAAAGTTCTTCTATAACACTAGAGCATCCATCTTCAGCCTACAGGCTCATAGTATCCAGCAGACTTTTCCACGAAGCAGGAAATTTTAAAGACAGTTCCACCTATATTGGCAGTTTGTCAGTCACTTTCTTCTGTGTCCTGCAGAATGTCTAGTAGACTTTAGTGAAGCAGGAACCTCTAGGCAAGTTCAGCCGTCATTTCTCTTTGGGTCCTGCATGTCCATTTTATCAAGCAGTCCAAGCAAGAGCAGTTTCTTGCTCAAATAGCTAACCAACTCCATAAGGAGTCTCTTTGATGTCCATTTTCCTCTTGAAGTAATTTGGTGCTTCCAAAAGCACATGTGTCTCACTGTCATGAAAAGTCCAAAATTCTTAAAACATTTAAAATGCCATATTCTGAAGGTCTCTGAAAGATTTGATGAATACCTAACTAACTGAGATATATCTGTATATATCTAGAAAACCTAACTAACATGACTATAATCTTGACTATTTTATATGACTATCTATTAACCTATATTTCTTAATTATACATTACATTTTTAAATGAACTACACAAACACAAAACCTTAATCAAGGGCAGAAATATACATATACAGTATAACAACATTTACCTTAAATTTGTATCAATAAACCAAGACCCATACCAAAGTAAATTATTCATCTCTATAGCATATCCCTCTTGAAATGTAAACAGACAATTATAAACAATATTTGGGTGTATGGGCATAGTTCTGTCCATACTGCTTCCTACTGTTTGGCGGCACGTTTAATCAGGTTTATCATGGTGTATCCTGTTTATCTCAGTTTGCAGTTGGGCAAAGTAATTTTTTGAGGGTGTTCATGGCACCCTTTCAGGGGATTGTGCTATATCAAACCATATTAGTCTAGAAGCAATCCACAGGTTCTCATCCTCTGTAGAAACAAAAGAAGAACCTCTTCCCACATAACTCAGCCGTGAATGATGGAGAAATGAGGTCATGACTGTGCCCTGAATCCTTGTAACTAGGAAAATTATCAGCTCATGAAATGGAAACAAGATTCTGGAGCACAGTCGATACTTAAATTTGTGGGATTTATGTTTCTAGCTTTGAGAAGGTATGTTATTTTTATTTCTTTATAATGTGTTGCTTAATAATACATATTCATTGTGTCATGGATTCCATAGGTCAGGAGTTTTGACATGGGTTGGCTGAGTTTTGGGATTATGGCTCCTATGCGGCTTTCATAAGGTAGTGGGCTGTCATCTCTTATGAGCCTTGACTGAGATGGATCTCTAGCCACGTACAGTTGAGTTGTAAGAAATAATTCAGTCCCCTGAGACTGTAAACCGACAATATCAATTTTTTGTTTGCTCTTGGCTAGAACCCATCACCCTCACTTTTTATACTGACTTTTGCTATCTTTTGTGCAACATTATCCAAATGACCACTTTATTTCTTAAACCCAGCAACACAGAGAAAGACTGAAATGAATAGGCCATAGAAATGTGTATGGTGACCATGTGAAGATATGGATGCTGTCATCTTTCCCACTCTCATGTACAAACAAGTCATGGGTCCTGCCCTCACACAGGGATCACACAAAGATGTGTATGGCAGAAGAGAAGGTCACAGGGGCCATTAATGACCACACTATACAGAAAGTTACTTCAGAAGATGTTGGGAAGAGCAGCCCAGCTGGTTTGTCTGCCCATACAGCAGGGTTGTCTACACTTTGAAGAATATGTTATCCCCTTTAAAGAACACAGTCTTTTCATCAATTCTTTGTGAGTTTCACACAATGGGATGCTTCCCTTGAATTGTTAGTGAAGGGTGTTTCAGAGATCCCCCCCCCCCAAAAAAACAATACAAGCTATTGCTATTAATCTTGGTTGCCCACCAAAACCTAATAGTAAGACTATTGAGAACTCCCATTTTGGAGATGTTGAGGACTGGGGCTTCAAAAGGAATCTTCTCTTCTTCAACAGCTCTCATCCCCCTTTCACTAACACCATTCCGATCTGCCTCTTCCTTGAGGCTCTTCCCAGACCATCCGCAGAGCAGCATCTCTTTGGCTCCTGTTATTAACGGATTACATTTTTAATTAAGCAAAAAGTTCTTGGAAGAGGGTGGAAAGAAGAGCACAAAGAACTGATGGTCAGTTAAAATTCAACAATGGGCCCCTGTTTCCTCTCCTCTAGAAAGCAATGACAAAAGCAAAATAAAAAAATACTTGTCAAACTTCACTTAGTTGAACACAGTTTAGAGGGCTGGAATGATAATGATGGCCATGGGGGAAATGTTGAGGACAGAAGTGCCCTCTGTTCAGGAGATAGAATGATCTCCAAATCCAATGAGGTGTACAAGAAATCATAAGGTGTGTGCCATCTGGGATTTAGCTGGAGGACACCTCACGCCCTGTCTTCCCACCCATTGTTTATGTGACCTGGGTGAGACGCTTGACATCTTGGGTATCCCCTTCCATGTCGGTAAAATGAGCATGACCACAGTACCACTTTGCAGCCTCAGGGTTAAGTGACTCGAAGTGATAAAGCACTAAGAATGGTGCCTTGCCCTCAGGGTGTGGGGAATTCATGGAAATAATGAAGTATAAGTCCTTGCTATTGGTTACTTTTATGTTCCTATGACAGAATACTGACCCAACAACTGAGATAAGGAAACACTTATTTGGCTTCATGGTTTTGGATGGATTTCAGTACATCATGGTGAGCAGGCATGGTGGAGTTCTCAGTGGATGGGAGCATGTTGTGGAGATGTCTCCTGTCATGGTATGGCAAGAAATAGAGAAAGCAGGCAGAACCAGTGAAGGGTTTCATCTTCAAAGCCCTTCTCTTAGTGACCTCAGCCTCCTAAGTTCTACCCAGTCTTTAAAATAAGGTCACAATACGGGAACAAGCCCCTAAGTCATCAATATGTGGGGGGATATTCCACATCTAAACCAAAGCATATCATCTCCAGTTCTCAAAGGCTCCTGTCCATCAAAGAATGAAAAATACTTTTAGTTCAGCTTTAAAAGTTCCCAGAGTCTTAACTATTGAGATTCAAGGCAATCCTTTGGATGTGAGACCCTGCAAAATCAAAGAAAGTTATGTAGTTACAACAGACAATGACACAGAGTAAACCAGCCCACTTAAAGATGTTAGAATGGGAGATATCAAGGAAATATTGAACCAAGCAAGAAGAAAAACTTTCTCTCTCTCTCTCTCTCTCTCTCTCTCTCTCTCTCT